GCACCCCACCAAGCACCCAGGCTTATATGCCAACTGTTTTGTTTGTTTTTTTCTCCGCCCACCCCCTCCACACCCCAAACTGGTATTGCATCTCCATGGTTCTGTGTGTGTGTGTGTGTGTGTGTGTGTGTGTGTGTGTGTATAGCACTGCACTGCCCTCCTGTTGTTCATGGATTTGCTCGAGCGGGCACCAGTAACGTCTCCATTGTGAGACTTGTTGTTACTGTTTTTGGCATATCGAATACGCCATGGGGAGCTTGCCAGACTCTGCTGTGTGGGTGGGATACTCTCAGTAGCTTGCCAGGCTCTCTGAGAGGGACGGAGGAATCGAGCCCAGGTCAGCCACGTGCAAGGCAAACGCCCTACCCGCTGTGCTATCACTCCAGCAATATATATATATGAGTGTCTACCTCTATGTCTGCGCCCTAGTCCCAGCCCCCTGATAGCTTGTTTTATTTTATTTTGGGGCCACAACCAGTGCTGCTCAGTGCTTATTCCTGACTCTGTGCTCAGGATCACTCCTGGCAGTGCTCAGGGGACCCTATGGGAAACCAGGGGTGAAGCAAGGCAAGTGCACTACCCACTGTGCTATCTCTCTGGCCCCCTGTTGAGCTGCTGCGTCCTGATGGGCCGACCTACTGTCAGAACTTGTTAGATGTCTGTGAAGTGGAGCCATGGCTGACCCCACTAGGTGCTCAGACTGCAGCGGGCCGGCTCTGTGAAGACCCATTTCCCTGCGAGATTCCTAAGCTCAGCAGTTCACGCAGCGGCTGGCCACAGGGCAGAGGCAGGTGAGGGTGGTCAGCCCCTCACCTGGAGACTCGAGCTCCAAGACCCGCTGAACGCATATGTGAGTTACGAGACACGCGGCCCACAGGCTCCTTACCCGCCTAGTGCCGATGGCCTTCCTGCTAGGGCAGCTGATGGGCACACGGAGGTAATGGCAGGTCAGGCACCCCTGTGAGCCCCAAGCGTCAGTCTTTCCCAATCAATGCTCCCCCCCCCCCCACCCCCGCCGCCTCCAGCACTTTGGAGACAAGCGTCTATCCCAGATATCTTTATCAAGATGAAACAGAAAAAAAAAAGCCACAATCTAAACAGATTCAACAGCTTAGGAAACAGCGGGCCGGGATTAATCTTCACATTTGTCAGTGTTTCCTGTATTGGGCCTGCGAATTAACTTCTTGGGCTGACGAGAACCATTCTCCTCACCACGTTCCCAGAAACCCAACTGAAATCGTGTTTTCCCTAATGAAATTCTGGCCTGTAGCAAATTCATAACAACATATGTGGACGGATGTGGAGAGGAGGCCGGCTCGTGAAATAACCTTCCAACCGCTTTTCCAGACGGCCGGCTGCCAGCCCGCACCTCTAATTGAGGTTAATATTGAAAACCTTGTGGGGCCGGAGAGGAGCTGGCCAGGATTCTAATTTTGGCCACGCAAGATGTTCAATCTTTCAAAATTCTGTTGTTTAATTTATTAGGCTTCATTTCTCCGCTGGCATCTTCATAACAGAAAACTCCGACCGCTGAAAAGGCGCGCGGCTCTGCTGATATATTTGCATAAATAATTAAACATTGGATAGCAGAGTTGGTGATAAATCCTAGGCCGCCATAAACCTCCAATGGAAGGACATTGCTTTAATTAAAAATTACAAAGGCGCCTCTGTGAACCACTCATTTACATTTGAAGCTCCCGGTTTGTTGACTCAAGAAAAAAAATCTCATTAAAAAAAAAAAACCCACCCAGAATTGACCTCACCCCAAATCCTATTACTGAGGTCAGGAACCACATTTAATTAAGATGAACTGCTAATAATATATTTTAGTAGATGGAAGCTCTTCTCTTAATTTCCCCAGGTAGAAATGTTATTATTTGGCCTTTATGGTCTGATTAACATTTAAAAGGCGGGAGTCGGCCCATATTAAATTCTTAAATCTGGCCTGGAAATTATTATTATTATTTTTTGTTTCTAAAAGGCACCTGAGACCCCCTCCCCTCTCAAGTTCCCATAAACGCTAAGCCAGCCTGTGTTCGGAACCCCGTGGGTCTGAGGCTGATGCCGGCGGCAGGCGCCCACGAGACCAGGGGAACGGTTTTGGCCTCGGAGAACTTGGGAGTTGCAGAACCATGTGCTAGCGGGGCTGTGGCCCGTGGCCCTCCATCCCCACCTGCTTTTGTGATTTCCTCCGAATGCGCTGAAGTGTTAGGCCAGGCAAGTTGATGGAGAAAGGGCCCAGACGAACCCCAGCAACACCTGGACAAACCCCAGCAATGCCAGGAACAAAGCTTTTGGGGCTGGGATATTCACTGCGCGCTGCATTCTCGACCACCTGGGCTTAAAAACCAGCCGAGGAAGAGTCCCAAGGCAAGGGAAGCAGGACTTGAAGTCGGGTCCCCAAAGGGGGGCAGACTGGGTTGCCACTCGCAGAGAGAAGAGGGCGGGATCTGGCACTGACCTACAGACCCGAGACCAGGCTCCCTGGCTGTGCTGGGGAGGGTGTGGCTGGGTGCTTCTCTTTCTCTCACAGGAGGGCACCCCCCCCCTCCGAGCCACAGCCACCCCGACTCCCTCTTGCATCCAGCCTGCCTTATCCTCCTATCCTCCCAGCTACGGAGCACCGACCTCTCACAGGGCTATGGGGGAGAGCCGCCTGGGGGACCCCCTCCCCTCTTCCCAGCTGGTCTGTTCACTGTGTCTGAAAAGAGGTCCCACATGGGAATGGGGCCTGGGCTGTTCACCCTGAGGGAAGGTCCTGACTGCACAGACAAGGAAGGATTTCCACAGTCAGGCCACCCTCGCTGCCCATGCTGCCTATGGTCACTGGATCCCAAAGTGCTGGCCCACTCAGTGCTGAGTCACAGTGCTGAGTCACTCTGTGCTAAGTCACTCAGTGCTAAGCCTCTCGGGTGCTAAGTCACTCAGTGGTAAGTCATTCAGTGCGGAGTCACTCAGTGCTGAGTTCCTCTGTGCTAAGTTGCTCCCAAGCCCAGGCAGAGGGGCTGGGAGGCCGTGGGCACGGCTGGCTCACGTGCTTCCGGCGTCCCGAGACGAGGGCTCAGCGCCTGTGAGCGTCAACTCCAGGTCGCAGGGCAGGCAGGAGTCTGAGAAAACCAACCCGCTCTTTCCGCAACAAAAGCATCAACCACGCCAGGAGGGGCCCAAGTCCTTTCCCAGCATTCTTCAGGAAATTAATGATGCATTAAACAGCTCCGCCACAAGCACAGCCACTGACCTTTGCAAAAATAATTGCTGGTGATTGGAAGTGATCTAAATATTCGACAACAAGGGGGTGAGGATGTCCCAGCACACACACGCCCGTCATGGGAGAGAAGAAAGAAGAGAGAGGCAAGAAGGGAGCCCCCCTCCCCCCCCCCCCCCCAGCTTCAGGCTGAGCTCGTGGGGCAACCCCACAGGGAGGGGCCGGGCACAGCGGGCAGGGGATGATGTCCTGGGGGAAGGATCGCAGATTTCAAAAAATCACCTTCTGTTTAGTTCTATCTTTTTCTTTGGCCGTACCTGGGAGCATTCAGGGCTTCCTCATGGCTTTGTGCTCAGGAATCACTCCTGGAGGGGCTCCAGGGACCTTATGGGTGTTTCCTCCCTCCCCTCCCTCCCTGCCTGCCTCCCTCCCTCGCTCCTGCTCTGATTTTTCTTTCCTTATCTCCCAAGCGTCCTCCCAGCACTAGCCCTCCAACCCTCCTCCTCCTCCCCCTCCTCCTCCTCCTCCTCCTCCTCCTCCTCCTCCTCCTTCTTAACCGCCTTCTCGAAGGTTCCCTCCACGATCTCTCTGAATTATTAATACGGAGAAACCGCATCACTCAACTGAGGCGTTTCATGTCGGCAGAAACCGCAGTATGCAGGGGCCTGTGACCCAGTGGGAGGACCCGGCCTGCCAGGGAGGGGGTCCTCTAACCCGGCACCTCCCTGCTGGGACCGGAGGCAGCACGGGTGCCTGCACACCTGCACACTTTGCCTTGGTCCCGGGTGCGAACGGCTGGACAGGAGGGTTAGAAGCCAGGCCCGGACGTGTGGGCGAAGGGTCCCGCGTCAGCCTTAGTGGCCGCTCCTGCCTCGCCAAGGCTCACCCGCCCCGGACTAGGCACCCCCAGGACACTCTGCGGACTGAAGCTGCCACGTGGGGTCTCGCCAGGGAGGGGGCGGGGACCGAGATGCCCCCCGTGAGCCAGATCAGGACAGTGTGAGCAGGGGAGGGACGACAGATCAGCCTGTGGCCAGCTGTCGCGGGCCGGATGCTTGCTTTCGCAGGAGAAAGGCACAATGTGTGCCAATGTGCCTGCGCCCACAAATGTGTGCTGCTGTGCCCCGGGGACTGAGCATGGGACTTGTGGAGCGCAGGCCTGGCCGGCAGCGGGAACCGGACGCCTATGGGGACCCTCCTCTACAGCACCCGACGGACTCAGGGGTTGGAGCCTGGGAGGAGGCCTGGTGGGTGCAGGTCTGCAGACCCCAGTACTCCCCACCTTCCTGGGGAGCCACTGTCCCCCTTCTGCAGTGATGAAGCAGCTGGCCGAGTGGCAGTGGTCAGGGCACCCTGGGTAGGGGGACCCTCCCTTCCCCTCCCATTCCCTCCCTTTCCCTCCCCCTTCCCTTCCTGGCCTGTGTCTCACGCCCCAAACCACGCAGCCCCCAAATACTCTTTGGGGTCTGGCCGGTGCAGGAAGGGGGGGGGGGTGAGGGCCGCTGGGGCACCTTGCACAGGCAGTCCATGCCGCCCACCACAGGCACTTCGCCGAGATGCCTACTTTCCGTTGGATGGACCACAAGTGGGCACCGAGAGCTAGGCCGTGGCCGCTAGTGTCCCCTCTGCCCGGCCGTCTGCGCGGCCCCTCCCGCCAGCCCAGCCCACCTCAGTGTCTGCCCTGTGCCCTCCCATGCATGCGGTCGCTCCTGTCACCCCTGTACCCCTGTGCTGTGTGCCCTGTCCCATCCCAGGAGCCCCACCCTGAGGGTCCCTGCCCCCCCGGCCCACCCACCTGATGGTCTGGTGCTGCAGCGAGTCGGGGTCCGTGGCATTGACCGTGAGCAGGACGCTGCCCACCGAGACGTCCTCGCGCCGCGTGACGGTCATGGGGTCCGGGTAGAAGACAGGGCCCTCGTTGACGTCCAGCACGGTGATGTGCACTGTGGCCGTGGAGCTGGGACCGTAGGCCACGTCGGGCACCAGTGGGTCCTCGTTCTCCACCTTGATGAGCAGCGTGTGGAAGGCAGAGATCTCGTAGTCCAGCGGCTGGAGCAGAGACAGCGGTCAGGCCCCTGGCAGCAGGGACGCCGGACACAGAGGCGCCCTGGCCCGGGGCTCGCTCAGGGCTGAGGTGAAGGTCACCGGGGTGGGGGCAGCAGACAGACTCAGTGCTCAACCCCCCCCACCCCTGCTGTGATGGTCCTGCTGTGTGGCTCCTGCCCACACCCCACCCCTGGCTCGGGGACCTCTCTGTGCGCTGCCCTCCCGGCCACCTGTCCCCGCTGTCCCCTGGGCGCGGGCCTTATTGATGTGTCCCAGCTGCGGCAGGAAATTGAAAATGCTTCTGAGGCAGGCGGCAGAGGCTCGGTTCCATTAATATTTTATCGAGTGTCAGGGAGGGCACGGCCTCTGTCCTACGGCTTCTGGCTGGAAAAGCTGCCTGCGGGGGGAGGAGGGAGAGGCTGGGGGAGGGAGGGAGAGGCCTGGGCATGGTCCCTGCAGGGGGCGGGGCTGGCCATCCAGGTACCAGGACCTCAGGGTGTGGCCTTCTCCGAGGACGGAGGAGAGGCAGAGTGGGAGGACCCTCCAGCAGACAGGGTCACTCTGTGCCGTTCGAAGCAGCTGGCGTGGCCCCGCCAGGAAGCAGATGCCCCTTTGTGAGAACAGTTTGGGCCCCGTTGGAGCCCGTTTGGGAGAAGGACAAGCCAGAAACACTGCTGTACCTCCTGATTCAACCTCGCTGCCCGGTTAGGGCTGTCCACCCTCTCTAAGGCTGAGGGGGTCCTCTCTCACGTGGCTAACAAGTGTCAGGGGGAATTGGCTGGGGGAGGGGCACCTCCCTGCGGGAGGGCTCCCCCCTCCCTTGACTGGCTGCCTCCTTGCTTTGAAGCAGTCCTAGGGAGAGATGTGATGCCTGGAGGTCTGGCAGCCCTTTTATGTCCATGAGGAAAAAGGCTACAGGTGCCCCCTGCTGGTCGTCTGCCGCCTTGCACTGCCTGTCCATCCTTGGTGGGCCTGCCTTTAGCTGTCCCCGCCTGCCTTGGGTGGGAGGAGGCTTTGACTCAAAACTGAGCTATCAGTGAGTGACTGTTCCCTAGTGAGTGACTGTCTCCCAAAGGAACCGCGACTCCCCAGGGAGATGCTGGAGAAGGGAAAACTCTTCTCCCATCTGAGTCGAAACACCTCCAGATCTCCCGAAGTTCACCATCAGATGCATTCAGAATCCCATTTTAAATAGTCTGTTAGAAAACAGGGTCCTTACTCGGCAGCGCTGGGGATGGGGGCAGGGGGGGACGGTGTTGGGGGACGGGAGTCAGGGGCTTGCCCGAGAGAGGCAGGCTTGAGCCTACCCCAGCTTGAGGCTATTTTGGGGGGAGCGGCACACTGACAGGGCTTGGGGTGATTCCTGGCTCTGTGCTGGAGACGGACTCAGGGCTGGCGTGTGCGGTGGGTGCCGGACCCTGCACATCTCCCAGCACACAGCGTGTGGGACCCCCCGAGCCCACGGAGCAGGGAGGCCGGGCTTACCTTCACCACGGAGAGCATGCCCTCGTTGGTGTGTGGGTTGGTGTGCACTTCGAAGCTCTGGGCCGGGTTCCCGTTGATGATGGTGTAGGAGGCCCTCCAGGCGCCCGTGCTGGGGTCATCCTTGTCCTCCACCGTCAGGTTGACAATCACGCCCACGGCCCCTTCCTCCACGGTGGCCTGGAACTGCCAACAGAGTGGACGGACCCTCAGTTTCTGCAGGAACTGTACTGACCCTTCCCGGGGTTCTCCTGGCAGCCCGGGCCAGGCGCACTGCTCCTCAGTCTCACCCCGGAGTGCCCCTCCCAATGCTCCTGGGTTTGCTCAGAACTGAGCCCACGTAACGGGGCGGGGCGTGGGGATGGAACTCGGGTCCCCAGTGCCCCTGGCGGGGAGCAGCCGGCGGCCCGAGCCTGTGCCCATCGGCAGTTGACAGAGGGAGCCGTGCACACGTGCAGGACTTTCTACCTTCCTGCGGGCACCAGTGCCCACTCCCGGCCCCAGGCACGTGGTTTGTGAGTGGAGCAGGGGGTCCGAGCCCAGACTCGGGGTGCCACCTTTACTAAGGCCTCATTCTCCCCAGACCCGGCCGCTCGGGCATGGTGTGAAAAAAATCCCCTCCAAGGAAGCAGATAAATCACTGTTCGGAGACTTGTTGGACCCACGGGTTTTAATTGTAAGACATCTCAAACGCTTGTTGCCAGTAGGTGTGTTGAAAATAAATCAATAAATGAAAAATCAGCTTTCCGGGAGAGACGGGGGCCAGGTCTCACTCCGGGTGGGGCGCGGGGAGCTTTGTTTTTCTCTTTACCTCGGACCCCCTCCAGGTGAGCAGTCATCTGTCTGCAAATAGTTTACAAACAAGTAATCCTGGCAAGCTGACAGGAAGAAGAAGTGCCTCGGAATCCCAATGAGCAGGAGAGCGACCGCTGGAGACAGCGGCTGGTAAGAAAACCCCCTCTGTTCCGAGGAGGAGTCGGAGGACAGATGAGGTTTCGGGAGCAGAGGCTGATTAATTGGCTGGTAAATCATTAATCATCAGCCTTCTCCTGATGTGGGGTGGCCTGGCGTGGGCTCATTTGTCTCACATCCCTCGTACCCCACACCTGGTGGGGGGCTGCTTCCCTCCCTCAGGAGGGGGATGAGAGGAGGCCGGGGTCACCCCTCGAGGTTCCAGGGAAGAGCCCGTCCCTGGGCCCCTGTCACACTACTTCCTGCCTCCCCACCCCCATTCGTCTGCAGTGGCCAGAGCCAGGAGGGAGGCCAGTGCTTGTCCACAGCCGTTTGTCGAAGGCTCGGAGTTGAACGCCTGGGTTCTGGCATCTCAGCTGCTCCCGTTCCACATCCCTGGGGATGGCCCAGAACTCGATGATGGATTTTGGTCCCCGCTGACCACACGCTGACCACAGCTCACAGTCTGAGCTCGTGCGCCTGGGCCCCGCGTGGGCTGCGGGCTGGAGTGAGGCTGGGCTGGGGGGTGCCGGGCCAGCCCGGCTGGGCAAGGAGACTGTGAGGTGCGTGCACGGGGGGAACCCTGCCAAGGCAGGCAGCGGAGGCAGCGGGGCACCGTCCGTTTCCAAGGACAGACAGTGAGCGGAGGAGGCAGAGGGCCCGCTGACCCCCCAGACAATGCCATGCGTGCAGAGGAGACACGGAGATATTTGTGAATAAAGGAAGAGTCTGAAACACATACAGGGGTGTGGCAAAGTGGACGTCAATCCTGCCGACTCTGCCACTTGCGTGAAGGTTCCAGAAAGGTGAGGCAGGATTGACCCCCCTACGCCACTGGGTTTCAAGGACATTTTCAGAGGCACTCTGCAGCATTCCTGAGGGGCTACACACTGTGGTTCTCGAGGGGCTACGCCTTGCAGTTCCCAAGGGGCCACTGTCTGAATTTGCCACATGTTAGGCAATTCTTCCTCTGTTGGCCCTTAGTATTGTTGAAGATTTTCACAGATATTAGAATTTCCATTTTATTTTGGTGTGGAGATAAATATGAGAATTTTCTCTGACCTTAAAATTTTCTTTTTCAAAAGCCAGCTTTTGAGAGAAGGATGGAGGAATGATTGATAGATGGTGGGCTGCCTGGGTGAAGGGCTGGCTGGCTGGAGAGATGGATGGACAGATGGACAGATAAGTGGATAGAAAGATTACTGGCTGGCTGGATGAATGGAAGGAAGCTGACGGGCTGGATGGATGGAGAGATGGATGGAGAGATGGATGGAGAGGTGGATGGATAGAGATGTGACTGGCAGCTGGGTTGGTGGCCAGCTGGCTGAGTGGCCGGCTGGGTGGCTGGGTGGACAGGTATATAGAAGACTGTCTGTCTGTCTGTCTGTATGTCTGACTGGCTGGCTGAGTGAATGAATGTCTCTGTCCATCTATGCTCTGAGTCTAGGGAGACACACATCCCCTGTGCAGCATTCCACGAGACTGTCTCATGACCTGGACTGAAGGGGATGGCACGGGACACAGCTGTGGGTAGGCACACATCCACATGAGCAAATTGATCCCAGGGGAACGAGAACGTGGCATTACTCTAGGAACTCCCAATGTGGCACTGTGATGCTAAAATGTTCTTAAGTATAGTAATGTGCCCACAGTCACTTTCATTTACCACCTACCCAACTCCCACTTCTCCCTCCCTCTCTGTCCTTCTACCCATAATCTATCCATCATCTACCCTCTAACTCCATCCACTCACCCATTCATCTTCCTCCCTCTCCCCACCTACTGTTTCCTCCAGCACCCACCCATCCATCCATCCACCCACCCACCAATCCATCCATCCATCCATCCATCCATCCATCCATCTACCTATCTACCCACTCACTCACCCACCCACCCTCCCATCCATCCATCCATCCATCCATCCATCCATCCATCCATCCATCCATCCATGTGATCATACATTCACCTATGAAAAATTTCCTCACTCCATCCATCCACCCACCCACCCACCCCACCCAGTCACCTATCCATCCACCTACCCATCTACCCACTCACCCAGCCACCCAGCCACCCGTTCATCTACCCACTCACCCACCTGCCTATCCATCCATCCACGCGACCATACATTCACCTATGAAAAGTTTCCTCCCTCCATCCACCCACCCACCCACCCACCCACCCACCCACCACTCCACACAGAACCCAGCCAGCCCTCCAGCTAGCCAACAAATATCTGCTGAGTGACTTGCGTGTGCGAGACATTCTACAGTACTAAGTTCTGGGGGATACACTGACAGTGAAACAGACACGACACCCATATAGTTATAAAAATACACTGGGTGCTAGGGGAGAAGCAACACAATGATTGAAGATCTTGCAGCTTGGGAAGGGGTGACAGGGGTTGGTGCCTGCCCTGGGCAGGGTGAGTCACTAGGGACGGATTCCCGGGGACTCTTTCCTGAGGAAGAGTTAGGTTGGTGGGTGTTTCTCAGGCCCTTTGAACAATGCAATGTGCACTCTCTTCCCTCTTGAAAGGAGCACTCAGCAGGGGAAGGAGAGGAGAGCACTCCTGGCATCTGGCAGAGCGGGTGCAAAGGCCAGTGGCAAGGGGTGTGTGGGGAAGAGGGGCATTAAATGAACACTAAGACGTGCTCACCCCAAGACGTGCTGACACGGTTGCCCCAGACACAAGTGAATTAGTGGATTCGTGGCTCAAGGGCAGGAGAGGGTGGGGTTTGCTCTCAATTGACTGCCCAGGACAGAGTCAGAGTATGTGGCCCTCAGCTGCTGTGGGAAGGTTTTTGGAATTTGCCCTGGAAGCAAATGTGAATCTAATCAAGGGACCAGATTATGTTTAAGTCTACTCCTGAAGGAGTTCAGGGAAAAAAAATTTTAAATATAGAAAACATTCAACACAATTATTGTATTCATTGTTAAGACCATTATCTGATTCTTGCATAAACTATAAAGCCAGTTTCCCTGAGCATCCATTTAGAAACTCATTATTGCTTAATTAAATACTCATTCTATTAATTCTATTCAATGTTTTAACCCCATTATGTAATTCAAGAATGGAAAATTAAATAGATTAAAATGAAATAGCACCATTTTACATTTCTGTGGCAATGCTCACTTGGTGATTTAAAAACAATAGACAGACATTCATTTTCCATGGGAGAGCAGGACGGATTATTGATTGTAACATTACTTCCTTTAATTAGAAAAAAAAAATAGATAAAGTTACTTTCCTGTTAAACCGCGTGGCAAACCAAGCACACGATGTATTTGGACATAATCAGTGGGAGGTTGGCTTGGGTTGCACACAATCTCCTCCAGTTCAGAATTGAGCTGTGTTCCTTGACAAGGCTGGCACTCGGGCACAGCCTGGCAGATGTGCCACCCAGAACTGCCCCTGGCAGCTTGGAGGGGGCGTCTGCAGAGCCCAGGAAGGGTGCCCCTCTATGCGAGTGTGCGAGAGGTGTCGGCGAGACAGCAGGCCCACTGGACAGCTGGGGTCCAGCCTCCTGAGATCTCGACCCTGGGGTGTGGACACTGAACCCGAAACGTCGGCCTGTAGTTCTCTGGGCCCTGGCTCGGCCACACCGAAAGGCAAACGCCCGGTTTCCCCACACCCAAATGTCCCCGTGTGAGGACGAAAGCCTGAGGTAGAAAAATCATGAGAAACTGAACTTGCTAAGACTCTGGGCGAACACTACAGCTATAGGAAACAGACATCTCATGGGTTGCTAAGAGCCTCGTGGGTAGAAATGGAACTGGCAGGAATATTTAAGGATCTTCCGGGCGTTGCATGGTGCAAGGACAGAATTTAGCGGTGATGAGGAGGAGATGGAGTGAATTTGGTACCACTGAAATTCTTAGCAGAAAATTGGGGGAGGCAGTTCCTGGCCCTGGGGCAGGTTCTGGTCTGATCACAGCTGGCCCCTGTGGCTGTCCATGGGGGCACGGTGTTGCCAGGCCCCGCTGGGCCCTAGAAGCCTGAGCTCTCTGTTTGGTTCTCCTGGTGTGACAAGGCATGTGGCAGCAGAGTGGCCCTGGCCCAGTGCTCCCTGCCTGCAGTCTGCCAGGGTCAGCTGCCCAGGGGCCACAGCAAGAGGGGAGAGGGACGCTCTTTGCGCCCTTCCTGGGCTCGGTGGACAGGGGTCTGTCTTGTGACACACCCAGACAGTTCGGTTTCACAGTCCTGTCCCTGCTGTGGGCCCGAGCTGCTCCAGGCC